AAGGCTATTACTCCATCTTCAACCCCCAACAAGCCACAGCAAGCTTTTTGTGGTCCATGGTCTGTGATCCCTCACAGCCCCTCATGCTCACTGAGGCAGAGCCTCCCATCGCTGCCATGAAATGTTGCCACCCGGCTTTCAAAGTTTAAACAACGAAAAGGATGTTGGCACCATTAGTAAATAAGTATTGCTTAAGTTCATCTTAAACCTCATACTTTTTATTTTCTATATTTATATATATTTATAATGTATATAACATATTAGTATAATAGGTATAATAGGATATCATACATATGATGCTTACTCTTTTTTTTTTTTTCTCTTTTACTATTAGGGATGTGAAATCAAAAAAAAAAACTTGAAGACCTATGTGCTAATCCATTCCATCTCAGGTGTCTGTGCATATCTGAATCACATAGGAGTCTGATTATAATGCAGGTTCTGATTCATTAGGTCTGGGAGGGGTGGAGACTCCACACCTCTAACAGGCTCCCAGGTGATGGTGATGTAGCTGGTCTGTGGACCACACTTTAAGGAGAGAATGGGTTTTAGCTCCTGGTCTGTAGAGAGCTGCTGACCCAGAGGCCCACCTGTAGGTGATGCACACCTGAATGCTGGGTGTGAGTGAAGTACTCACCACCCTGCCTGGCTTCAAGGGGTGGCAGCCGCTGCTGTGGCTGGGCTGCTCTTGAAATTTCAATTTCTCTTGCATCTTGGGTTCAGTGTTCCTCCCAAAAGCTGATATTTACATAAATACCCAAGATATCATACTTTAGGTTTACATGCCATGGGTGAAAATTCCCAATCTATTGCTTATTAGTTATAATTACCTTAGATAAATTATGTAGTTTCTCTGAGCCTCATCTGTAAAATGAGGTCAATAACAGCACCTCCCTCATACTGATCTGTGAAAGTCCAATGATGTAGCCCATGGACAGGGTTTGGCACAACACCCAAAAGCCCAGAAATGAGGGCTTCCGGGATGCAGGACTCTGTCCAGGGATGGTTGGTCTCATAGTCAGTGCTCAGTACCACGTTCATATGCTCTAACCATCCATTCTGCGTCCACGCTTCATTCTCTAGGTGTCTCTCCATGCGTGTGAGGGGACACAAGGCTCTGTTCTGTGAGTACAGGCTCATCTCTGTGACTGGCTGCTGGGTGAGGGGGCTCTCTGTTTCCACAGAGCCCGATTTGACAGGTCTTAGACTTGCTAATCTCTCGGGTTTTCTGGCTTTTGTCTCTGTGAAGTAGCTGCTCTCAGTAACATCGTTACATGAAGAGGATTTTATCTTGATGTGGGCTCTCACTTTCCTTTTTAAAAAATCCACATATGAAACACTCAAACAAATCCACAGTCTAGTTTTACCCAGCAGATTGTGTTATCAGAAGCTTTGAGG